TTCCGTGTAGTTAGTTCTTCACGTACTCCATTTCTAAAGACCTTTTTTACACTTATTGTAAAGCCATTTTGGCGAAACCAAAGTGTTGGAATTCCATCCAATAGTTGGCAAGAGTTTTTACCATAAACCCCAAAGTGCCAATTTATGTTTCAAATATACAGTAGAGACATTCCACTGGATAAGTGATATAACCTACTGATGGCACAGAATGAAAACTATTTTTTCATTTAATCGTTTATTTGAACCGGGACAATGCACATTGATGAACATTTTAAACAAAATAATGCTTTCAAATGTAAATGAGCCGGATTTTAACTTTAAGCTATATTCCATCCGTAGTCCCATCACATACAACTTTTATGAACATGACAGTTATATACATGGCAAAAATAAATACATGATATGCAGGAAGAGCATGAGAAGCATACAAGTATTTACCACATGGCAGAAAATTGCCATGGCAGTACAATTTAGCAGCTACGACATATAAAGTGCAGGAGGAGATACCCCTGTGTTAAAGTGAATTTAGCGGTGATCGCACGTCTGTTTGTTTCTCAACCATTCTTTGAGTTGACCTTTGAAGCTATTGAGAGTGGGACAATCCGTATCTGAGCTGGGAGGCTATTCCAGAATGAGCTGCCTGTAATGGAAGACATTTTGTCCAAAAGTGGTCCGTCTGCGGTGGACTTCACCTCATAGGCTCCTCTGGTTTCTGACCTAGTGCAGCGTCCAGTGTGTTTTTTGTGGATGATTTCCCCTAAGGGGGGGGGGGGGGGGGGGGGCAGTCCATGTAAACATTTATAAAAAAGCACATACTTTTAAAAGACTTGAAATTGTCAAAACTCAAGAAATTGTGTTTTTCAAGGATGGTACAGTGGGACTCGATGACCTTGGTGACCAGCTGACTTTTCATGAAAAGAAACGTCAAAATCTAAAATATGTAAAACCTCCTCTTTATGCCCCTAAACCCAACTTTATACACAACACACATCAAAGTACTACAAGTAGATACATGCGGACATTTCCCTGAGTGTATATATAGTTCCCAGAGGATGAGTTTTGTCCACATACAACCACAAAATGTTATAATGAAACACAGGAATCTAAGAACATCAGAACCATGCATATGTATGCTGCTGTGTCTGTACATTTAAAATCTTACCACCATACAACAAAAGAACTCAAAAGCACGAGCTTCATCACCAATAACTTTTCTTAGGGGTTTTCCTTTAAGTGCTTAATGAGAACCTGCTGCTGAACAAAGAGTTTAATCTGAAAGGTTTCTATTTCATGACTTCTCTTAAGAGAGACGGTGATGCCAAACTATGACCTTATCGCTTTGCCAAGAATGTTTTCCCCATAAAGACTAAACGGAGAAATGTGCACGGCACATCTGCGTGATTACTGCCAACAGCTCTTCTTCTAGAATACCAGCGGTTTCTATGGCTGCCCCCTTTTACTCAATTAGCCCCATAATACACTAAATACAAATATGACCCTGAATTGAGCATGTCCTCGTTGATGTCTGGATCACTATTTCATACAAAAAACAGTGTAAAAACAGGTCTAATTCCTTTTAATTGCAAACTGACACATTCAAAGCCAAATATTAATCTTTATATTCACTATTTGAAGTGTCATGAGTTTTTCCAGATGAGAAAATGCGTTATATTCAGCTATGCTTTACTCATATGAAACGTCCACATTAGTTAAAATGATGAGCCTATAAAGATTCTCTAGATTTTTCCCACCAAAACCATTTTTGGGTGAATTTGACCACACTGTTCCCTCAGTTATTGACCTGCATTCCTTTGAGCACTGTCAGCATATTTAGGTCATCGGCTGACCATGCAACAAACACACACACACACACACACACACACACACACACACACACACACACACACACACACACACACACACACACACACACACACACACACACACACACAGACGCAAGTCACACCTGCACTGTGATCTACCTCACTAATAAAAAGGCTTTCCTGCTCTAGCCGAGGGCTTGTATTCTTGGCTCCGCTCAGCCCTTCTTTTTAAATCATCTCTGATGCCCTCACCAAAGTATGCAGGTCGCAGCTCCTCACATCCCATCCCTGGCGCTATCAGGTGGATATGATAAAGGGGATTAAGGGTACGTAGGTGAGAGTGGATTATTTAAGAGGTCTACAGTATATCCGAATAAATCCCTGCCTCCGGGTTGCACATTTCTCAGTGATAATTACTTCTAGGAGGCCAGACTTTGCCTTCCTGCCCCCACCACCTCCTCTCCTGGTACTGAGAACCAGAACACCTGCAACATATCTTGTTTCCTTCATTACAACCTGCAATTACATTTAAAAAAAACTTGAATAACGTTTAAATGAATGTTGACACGGCTGGATGCTCAATATGAATGTGGGTGTTTCTCAATGTCTAGGACGCTTCCTTGGTAGGACAAGTCTTCCGAGTCATGTCCTTCAGAAGCTAGGCAAGAATCCTTCCTGGCATTCGGAGACCGAAGAGTGGAACAGGCGAGCAAGTGTGCAGGTGTGCGTCATATGAGAGGCTCCGCCTTACATTTTCCGCCACAGATTTTGGAAATTGGTCCGTGCGCAAAGCATTGTGGGGATTTTAAGACCTGCGGAGGATACACATGTGCAGCCTCGAAATTTCTCGCTACGAAGGACGCCGGGCTCGATAGAATTCCAAGGAGCCTGGACATTGGAACAGTCCTTCGGCGGGACTCGATGACGTAGCATCCTTGAAATAGTGGCTCTGGAGCATCCTTCCTTGACATTGAGAAACACCCGGTGTTTGCGTCATGGGAAGAAGAGTGAAAGTTCGATTGTAAGAGTTACTTCGTCTTGGCAGTATTTCTCCTCATGGGAAAATGTGTGATCCCCCTCCTTTACCATCACCTCACATCCTTATCAAGTGAGTGCAGGAGACATCAAAGTTACAACACAGTAAAAGTTAAATAATGTCTGAAGCCATCTCTCGTATTGTGAGACATGTTGGACGCATTGCATCATGTTTGCTCCGGGGGAATGAGGAAGGAGCCGTGCCCAGGCTTCACTCCTGATATCAGCGAGGAGAGGAGATGTGAATCATGGTATTACTGTGAGCAATGTGAAAGGTATCTACTGTGGTGTGAGGAGGAGGAGGAGGAGGAGGAGGAGGAGGAGGAGGAGGAGGAGGAGGAGGAGGAGGAGGAGGAGGAGGAGGAGGAGGAGGAGGAGGAGGAGGAGGAGGAGGAGGAGGAGGAGGAGGAGGGAGGGGGGGTGCAGGCTGAGGAGGAAGGAGATGCAGAGAAAGTGGATGATTTGTGGGGAGAAAGTTGTTTACCAAACTTTGGATATGTTTTCAGGACTAAAGTTTCAGCTTCACCGGATTAAGAAGCAGTGTTGTTTTAAAATTGACATCATCCTGTATTTTGGAGTTTATCCATCATGGACTTGCAAAGGTTTCCTCATGATTCTCAGCCTGCAGAGGAGCCTGAAATCCTTTAACTAAAGTTTTAAATAAGAAAAAAGCATTATGATTTAAACTCAGAGAGGTTGTCAGTCACAGAAAACTCTCATAACTCGGCTTGTCCTGGGTTTCCAACATCCCATCACTTGTATTTTCCCCTGTGGCTCACCACAAACCTGAGTCTGCCACAAAGTAAATACATTAAACACTCAAGTGAAAACCAGTCTCTCCACCCGCAAGAAAATAATTATCTAGTGACTAATAACGACGTGATTACACAAAGGATAATTCACTAAAGGTGGGGGGCTTTACAACATGTGGTGAAATAGTTCCAATATGTGATTATTACATATCGGGGGGGGGGGGGGCCCCGACCACAAACATTACACTGCATCTGTAACTGAAACACTGCTGTTCTCCATCACTCACTCCCTCTTGCCCGAGCAACCAGTAAATGAAACAAGCTTCAACAAAAGAGGGACAAATACAACGGTGAGAAAAAGAGGGCAAGAGCAGGGAGCTGTGGTGAAGTGCATGCAAGTTAAACAATATCCTGTTTACACTCTTATTGCATTATCATCGGTCAAACACACATTCAGTGTTGGTTGTTTTAAGCATTGCTACGACACATTGACAGCCAATGAGATCAGGGCTAGAGTTTTTTCCTCAAATTACTCAAAGAAACGTTTTAGGAACAGGTATCAAAATGACAGCCATCAACAGCCAATACTATATTTACCCCCAGTACCAAAGCACAAAGACCCTTTCCTTACACAATAGATACAACAAGGCCTTACAAAGTGTTGAAATGTCATTACACACGTTTGATCTGCACTATAAATACCTCTCATAAGTTATTGCACCAGTAACAAATTAGGTGGGCCTACTTTATTTGTACATAAGCCAACTTTATTTACGTTTTACCCCAAAAACATGTCCTTAACTTTCGGTTTGAAAGGTCCTTGAATTTGAGCCAACGGTTGACTTTATTGATTGTTTTGCGGGACTCTTTATACATCTTGACCTCAACGTGTGCACAAAAACGCAGTTATCTAATGACACACCAGCACTATATTTCCAATAATAACTACACTGCTGTCTTCTTAGTCGACCAACAGTCAAATGATTTCTATTCACTATAATCGACATAAAGGAACATGCTAAATCACCACTTTAAATACTGTGTGTGCCTGCTTATAGGTTTCATGGAAATAAGTCGTCACGCATAATAATATGAACACTAAAATAATCAATATGTTTCACTAATATGAAGCAGACCCAATACTTCTAATGGTTTCTCTCACTGTAATATTTCAATTTAAACATATACGGATTGTCTAAAGTGCTGAAAGTATTGAATAGTGATAAACCATGCCCTCTTAAAACGGTATATAAAATTACGCGCTACAGTTACGCACTCAATTTGGCACAGTCTTCCTCTATCTCGCCATGTCCCCTCTCCTCCCGGTATTATCCCAGTTTGATCCCAGTTTCCTCCCAGTATAATCCCAGTAGTAACCCAGCAGACTCACCCTGGAGCCCGGCTTCTGGCTTGAGGCTTGCGGCAGGTAGCAGAGGACCAGAGAGAAGGAGAACAGCAGCAGAGACACCAACATGATGAAGCGTCGCTCCGAGGTCCAGAAACACGCTCCAAAATAAACTTCTACTACTTTCCTCAAAGTTATTCTCTACTTCTCCAATAAAACTATTCACATAGTGCCGCGCAGCGATGATAGGGACCATAAAGCATGACTCAGGGTGTATCCACTGCGGGGATCAGCTGTTCATCGCGGCTGCCACAGGTTGAGTCGCGCCTGGATCCATTGCAACTTCATTTAAAAAGCAGGGGAGGGAGAAGCGGTTTGATTGACAGCAAAACTGACCAATAGGAGGTCATGGCTGGCGATATAGGCCACGCCCCCTGTGCAGCTGCAGTGTATTATCAGCAGCAACAATGGCTGAAGTTAGATTTAAAGTGCTCCCTCCTTTCAGGGACACAAAGGTCTCCAACAGCCGAGCATCGTGTGTGTGCGTGCGTGTGCGCGCGTGTGTGTGTCACTTAATCCCTCATTATTGTTGATGATTTAACTTTTTTCATCTTCTTTTTACACAAATGTAACGTTTTTATTGATTTAAATATATGTATGTATATTTTGTATTTATCTATATTGAGGTTAGGGTTAAGGAATCTAACATATATATTTCTGTAAACAAATAACAAAATGAAATCATATCATCAAAAAAAATAACTTTATGATCTTGTTCGTTGGTCAAATATAATACATATAATGTAAGTATTTATTTACACATTGACAGTTATATTCCAGATGAAGATTTTGCTCTTAAAAAGCTATATATATATACATATATTAGATAAACATAGTAATTACACACGTACCCATGCATAACAATACTCCAATAGAAGGATGTCATTTATAATAGTATAACATATAGTTTAGTATTCCGTAACTTCAAAACAAACTTTTACTTTTGTTACCTCAAGAACCTTTTTTAATACTTTAACTTAAGGTACATTTTTAATGAAAGACTTTTACTTAATTACTGTAATTAATGGTGTTAACAATGCTCCTGCTATTCAGAATCAGAAACAACAGCCGAGCATTGTGTGTGTGTGTGTGTGTGTGTGTGTGTGTGTGTGTGTGTGTGTGTGTGTGTGTGTGTGTGTGTGTGTGTGTGTGTGTGTGTGTGTGTGTGTGTGTGTGTGTGTGTGTGTGTGTGTGTGTGTGTGTGTGTGTGTGTGTGTGATTGTGTGTGTGTGTGTGTGTGTGTGTGTGTGTGTGTGTGTGTGTGTGTGTGTGTGTGGTGTGTGTGTGTGTGTGTGTGTGTGTGTGTGTGTGTGTGTGTGTGTGTGTGTGTGTGTGTGTGTGTGTGTGTGTGTGTGTGTGTGTGTGTGTGATTATTACCAGGTTTACACGTACGAGGAATTTTGAATTTAAAAAATAAATTGCTAATGGGGAAGACCAAGATACTAATGGAGTATTTTATACTGCAGTATTGCCGCTGGATTTGAATACCTCTCCTTCATCATGCTGCATTACTGTCCATCCTGAGACACAATCACAGTAAATGAACTCATAAACCTCTCCCACACTCTCCTCTTCTGTCTCCCTCTTTCTCCATCTTCCCCCTTTCAGATGAATTGTGAGGCCCATTGAGAGCGAGTTCAAAAGAAGGAGGAGAGACGAGTGTTGAGTGCAGGTGTCCAGCTTCAGAGCGGGGCTTTAAAGAGCTGAAAAGGGCCATCCGGTCACCCTTTACTGAAGTGGGTAACCCCCCCCCCCCCCCTCCTCTTCAATCCCCTTCCCTCCGTCTTTGTCCCTATAGATATTTTTTAATTGTTGGCTATGACAGTTCAGCGGCTTTTTGAGGGCCTCACTGAAGAACCTTGTAATTAGAGCTATTGAGCTGCTGGAATTGGCACAATTAGGGTCAACATTAATGATTTCTGTGAGCACCGGCGCTTCACTGAAGAGACAGCTTCTCAGAAAGGATGGAGAGGAACTGTGAAGAGGGTCAGGCAAAGAGATGAAAAGAAAGTGAAGCTGGACATAAAGGAAGAGAGATGTAGGCCTAAAACATGGACTGTATAAGTTCACCGAGGATCTGTGACGTCACCTATCGGTTTGGAGGCGTCAGTTTTTGGTCGTCCCCATCTTGGTTATTTGCAACATGAAGACACGAGAGGATGGAGCAAAGTACAGCCACGTGTGCTTTAAGACCTTTTTATGGACATTTCTTTAAATGTTCAAATTCACTTTTGTTAAGATAAAACACGATGGGAAAAGATTATTATTATTATGTCACCAAAACTGACCTTTTCAATGTGCCAAGTAGGTCCAAATAAACAAATAATTGTTATTTAATGAAATTATTAAATGCTTTTGTGTCATGCATTAACACAGGTGGAGGAATTATATTGTAAAAAAAAATAAGCAAATATAGAATTCTGAGTTTTACCCTTAACCCTTAGATGCATACGTGGGTCTTTTTGGACCCGGTGAGGTGGTTTTCTTGAAGTATCTTTGTAATTAAACATTTTTATCATTTCATATTCCAGCTATTCCTCAAAAAACACGGGAAAAAAACCGAAATTTGGATATCATGCCATTCAAATGTACATTTTATGCTTTTTAAGAAATTTTAGTTTTTGTATTACTACCCCAAGCTTCCATAAGTGGGTCAAAAATGACCCGCATGCATTTTCTATGGTTTTTCGGTTTTTTTTCAAAATGTAATAAAAATGTCTAAAATTATAAATAGTGAAAAATTAAATATAAAATATTTCTAGTGTGAACCAAAATATAATATATATATATTATACAAGTGATTTTTTCTTGACAAAAATGGCATAAAAACACATATTATTCTAATACGGGTCCTTTTTGACCCACTTATGGAAGAGTGTAGGGTCCAGTCACTCGGGCATCTAAGGGTTAAGAACGAAGACCCTTAAAGCCTTGCTGTCATTGGATTGGACGACACCAAGGCTTGGACTCCAGTCCCGGTGTGTTTTATAAAACCCTGAGGGAGGTGAGGAAGAGGGAGGTGAGGAAGAGGAGCAGGAGTGTCTCTTGGAATGTTAACGAGATAACTTTTCTCTGCTCGTCCCTCTCCCTTCGACCCCTAACAAAGCAGACTTTTCGGGGGTGTAAAGCTGTGTTAGGGGAAGCATGGCTCAACACTTTAATTCTGTTGTCATTTGGCCGAGCATGAAAGAAAACCTCTGACAACAAAAACTAAAAAAAGGAGAATGAATGGGCACGCTGAAAGGAAATGTATTTCCCAATTACTGCAGTGGCCTTTCCAAAGAACACCCCCCCCCCCTACAGCCGCTGCCCTCCAGCCGGCTTACACCAAATACATACGGCCGAAAATTAGCAGGTGTGTGTAGACAGAGAAACAGACGGAGGCCACCCAGCGAGGGGGGGGGCACAGATGTTCAGCCATGATGTCAGAAAAGTACACCGAGTTCACACATGGGAGGGTTAGATTAAGGGTAAAAATACCTTAAATTAAAGGATCAAACTACCTAAATTGTCCCATTTTCTAAATAAAGCTCCACTTGTTTTCATTTTTGCCAATGTTTGAGAAGTTAGCCTGTTAAGCCCCAAAGCCCCCCTCGGCGGGGGCTCTTTTTTTTTCACGACAGTGTCTCAGGGCATCTTAATATTTAAGAACCTATTAATGTGTTATACCAGATTAACGGGAAGAATCACAGCTAACTGACGATACAAACCATGTTTACCAAAACACAACACAAGAATAAGAAGCATTTAAATGACCCCTGAGCGAAAAATGCTAACGCACTTTGGCACAGAACTCAAGATAAAAGTACCCTTATTACTTATCGTAGCTGCACATACAAGATATCCGATTAAAGCTGAGGTTCCACAGATTATTTAGGTATAGTATCATCACTGAGTGATCCGAACACGCGACAGGGGAAGCAAACACAGACATCACAACACGTACCTTTACGGAGCTTTTACGGGAGATCGTCTCACCGTAGCTGTCAATCTGATCAAAAGACGTGTTCAATGGCATTAAAACGAGAAAAAACGCGGCTGAATCGCTTGATCCATAGGTTGATAATGTTTCTGTGGAATAATTTTTTTAAATTTATAATCCATAATTCTATTTTTATGTAAAAATCGGAGAGTAAAAGTTAGCTGCTAATGGTAGCCACCAGAGTTATCGCAGCTTCCGGTTTTGGCTATGCGTCAGTCTCACACACACACATTACCAAATAAGAAGTATGTGGGCGTTCCCCTCGATTCCATTGGCTCTGACGGTTAGAAAGAGATGTCAATCAGCAAAATCGAGCAAGGGGGGCCAGAGATATGGAAAATCCACCCAAATGACCCCAGAAGTGTTTTTTTTTGCTAAATCTCTGTAAAAAGGTCAAATTTCACTTGTTTTGCATCAATCTTGATACAGGGTTATTATATGTTGTAATTTGGATTCCTAAAGCTTTTAGTCTACATCCCATCATTCAAGGGTGGTTTTCACTATAAGTAAAAAAAATTTGGACGGACACAATAATTTACATTTTTTTACTGTGTTCAATCTGAATTTACTTTAAAATAAAAACATCTATATTAATTCTGACACTTCTACATCCAACTCACAGGTGTAACCTTGCTTTGAGAAAAAAGATTATTAATTTAACCCTTTTAGAAGGGAAGATATGGTCATTTGTTCTGGGAATGTCATTTTCGAGCCTGAGACCTGAAAAACTTAACAGGACTGGAACATTTCCATTTTGTTCAACTTTATACTTTAACCACATATTATAAAAGGTAGAGTATAGTCAATAGTTCTGATAGTTCTTCTAGCACCCCTAAGAAATATTTTTTATTTTCTGACGCTGCGTGAGTTCCCCGACACACCGGGGACACATATTTATGTATAAAAGACATCAAAAAGTGCATTTTGCATGATAGGTCCTCTTTAACACTAGAACCGCCAACGGGGTCAATTTGACCCAGAGCTGTTTTTTATTGTATGTAACTTTTTTTCAATAACATATTAAAGTCTCCCAGTCCGTGACTTTTCCTGAAAGTCTGTTATGTAGCACCCTATGTTGTTAAAAATTGTCAATATGAAGTCAGATTGAAGAAATCGCCAAAAAAATTGCCATTTATACCTATTTCCGCCAAGCGGGTCATATGACCCCACCCCTTTTCGCGCTATTGATTTTGCGTGTAAACAAACATGACGTGTTGCTATAGCAACGCCTTTTGTCTACTGCGGTTCCTTATAGATTGAGA